TTCAAAGAAATACTAAATTTATTTTTCCAAGGCTAATGACAATTAAAAGTCATACATTTGCCTCGTGTAATTTGTTAGACAAAAATTTCTCCGAAACCTCAGTAACCTCGAATTTTAAGCTCTTGAGCATATCGTTTTCCGTTGCCGTGAGAGCAAGTCTGTTTAGTGGTTCTTGTGCCGCTGTCGATCTGTGTAAATTCTTCAGATGTTTCATTTTCGAGAAACTCTTCCGCCCGGTCGCATTATTTATCATTAAAAACGAATAGATCCGTAGGACAATTTCAACATTATGAAATAAAGTAGTTATTCCACCGTTTACTGCAAAGGTGTAGATATCAAAAGCTTGTAGTGTTTCGAGCATGTGCCTGAATTCATTAAATCAAACAAAATTCCTGAATTCAAGAATTTCTGGCATAATTCCACGCTCAACGTCATCTGAGTTAATCTTCCGGAACTTTTCCGCTACTCTTCAAATATGTCCATCAATCATTGTTGGAAATTCTACCAAAAAATTAAACGATGAATGAACATTTTTTGTTTCAGTGCGATGAGAAAAAGCTGAGCATAACTTCTGTATGATGGCTGGATATATTTCTACCTTAAGCCTCTTTCTTCTTCGCAAAGCAGCTTCTTCAGCATTATCATAACTGATTCGTTTTCTTTTCCGATGCTCTCGTTTTCGTTCAGTCACATTACTCCTTATTTTCTACTTCGTCGTTTGCTTCGATTTTAAAACGTTTCAAACTGATCCCGCTGCCACGTCAAAAAAATTCAATAGAGATTTGAGAAGTGTAATAACTGATTGAAGGTCCAGTGTCTCAACTTGAAGTGAATAGCTGACTTGAGTGAATCTCTCCAAGATGATAGCCCAAAACTCTGCAAGGAGAATTTGAGTATAATAGTTGCTTCGCGCCATGTGGCAGCTTTCTGATTCTCATCTTCTGAAATTAATTTCAATACTTCTTGAAAACAGTAGTACCTTTTTGTGACAAGGCTTTTATCGCATCGGAAATTGCAGACCATTTAGTATCTAATACTCTTTGAACTCAGAGTATAGATTTAAATCCACTTCCAGGTTTGAAGTGAATTGGAGCGTTACTGACTAATGTTGCGTTGAACCGGAAAAGAAATTGTAAGGTTCTTGTATATGACCAAAAATGAAACTGTTGCACTGTA